ATCCTATAATTTATTTCTGTGAATAAAATAATTTACTTCTGTGTCTCCAAAGGGTCCCACTTTTTGTTCTGTAGTTTGACACATCCTTAAAACGTATTTCAATACTTGTGCAAATTAGACATAAATATAAACAAACTGACCATCTGTAGAGGTTGAATAATGGCACAACTAGAAGACTCTAAACTTTTCACATAAAACTGAAGGTCTGCATAAGCAGCAAAAAGGATAACCTAACATGGCAATTTTCCTCAGATTTCTAACAGAAACAAACATCAAATGTAATCACTTTTACCAATCCTGCTACAAGTTGCGTCTTTTACTACCGTTTCTCAATACAATAAACTCAATAGAGCAAATTTTGCTGTCAAAACTAGTTTCACATCAACAGAAATTCTTGGTCTAGTATAATTAATCACAGTTTACACTGAAGAAGTATCAAGTCCAAAAAAGAGCACTTAAAAGGAAGATCAAATAGAAGGAAAGAACACGGATGAGAGAGAAGAAAGGGGAAAAAATACGATGATAGAGCAGAGGTTAAAGAACAAAAGGTTTTGTTTTTTGTTTTTTTTATTAGAAGACAAAAAATGCTTTTCTAAAACTACTGCTTCACGAAAGCAGCTACTGTAATTGCTACCAACAGGTTACGTATAGAGGGAAAACACTTCGTAATTGCAGATAAGCAAAACAATCCACTTAACTGAACCAACAAAGCAGTTTCCCACAAGGTCCATATAGCAAAAACATTTGAGAAGCCTTTGCTTTCTTTTGCTGGACATCTCAAAACAAAAAAAAAATTGTCACTTCAAAATTCAGCCTTAGAAATGTAATAAGAATTCACTATAGAAACACTGTACTGTCCTTACATAGCATCTGATACACATCCCTCTTGTATATGTGAATACAAATCCACTTTTAAAGTTTTACATACTCAAAAAATACTTTTAAATTTGCTTTAACACTATGGCATTTAAACTATCTGAAAATACAATGAACCAAACTGATCTTTCCAACAAATCTTTGTCATCAAAACAACTCTGACTGCTGGTGCCAATACGTAGGAAACCATATTCATTACGTTAGCTAACCAACACTAAAAATGAAGCTGTAACGAATGTAGGATTAAACACAAAAGATGAAAGGCAACGACCTTAACAGAAAACGTCTACTGAACTTTCACACTGCACCTTCTACCTCTAGAGGGCTAAGACTATTTTGGCATCCAGATTTGCTTATTTTCAAAATAAACTAGCTGATCTTCCACTGTCGGTACTAATGAAACAGAGCGGAGCATCCCACAGACCCCCACAGTTCATTCGGGTTATCAGAACTGTGGTACTGCTTTATAACGTAAGAGGAGCAGTGCTAAAACTGGAAGGGTAACTGCATCGAGCCACGTGTACAGTCAAAAATGAGAGTGGCACTATGCTTCAGCATCAATTCCACATTCAGATAAAAATTAAGTCCCCAGTTCAAAGCTACTAATTGTGTGTATGGTGTGGCTAGACAAGTTAGACACTTTTCAAGCGAATATGATAAGGGATATATGATCGTTCTGTATATAGCATCAACTTTATATGGAAGTTAGGGATGCCACCAAAAACACATTGTCAAAAACTTCATGCTGAATCACCTACTGAGTACTATAATTTAGTGAGATACACACTACCACTTCTCATCCAGAAAGCTCCTCAGGAACATCCTGTAAAGAGAAGTAAAACTGAAGAAAGGGGATGGCAGACCACAGGCGCATTAGATGTACAAAGAAGGCATACGTCCAGAAGTTATAATAGTTGACTGAGCATTTGAGATCAATGACCTCATAAGTTGGCTTTTTGTATACTCTCATTAAAAAAAGAAAACAAACTCTATATTTAAAACCTTAGCTTTTTGTTTCTATCAAGGCAAGTTAAATAATGCAAGTCACTGCCTCAATTCTACTATTGCTTACATTAAAATTGCTTCATTTTTGCCAACATCCTCATCTCTCTTTACAAGTGTCCCAGGAGAGTCTGGGGCTTTTTTCTTCCCCAACTCTACCTCCCCCCAAGCCCTAGAACTAGCAATTGCACATCATCAAGGGAAGACTTTTGAAATACAATTTTCATGTTAAATTTCTTATGAAGATTCTGTTGCTCTAGCTGTTCTTTTGTTTCCGTTTTCTTCCCCGGGAAGCCTTAGGCACATGCATTCCAGTAACATCATTAAGTAAGGAATAACAGGCCAAAGGAGCTCTCTCTGCACCCACAGACGCCCCAGAGGGAATTGCTCTGGTAGTGCATCTCCTATGGGCTATCAATATGTGCTACTGAAGGAAGAGGGGGTTCAATCAGATTCATACCCCTTCTATTCCATTCTCATCCACAGTCATTATATATGACTTCCCCTCTGCAAGTAAAAGTCCTTACTTCCTACACTTTCAGGCACAAATTCAGGAGGAGGGATGCTGCACGCCTTCTTCACTACTTTTACGAAACCAAAACTCCTAGGTGGTCTAACAGCAAAACAAGCTACTTTAAAAAAAAACAACAGTATTTGTTAACAGTGAAAAGATTAATTCACATTAAAAAGTGTACATAAAATACCTAGCTTGAAACCCTGCAAAATCAGCTCTAGGTATGTTTAACTGCAGCGAACACAGACCTTTCCAAGTCCTGCAATAGGCCTGTGTTTAAGTTACTAAGTATTTAATCCATTTCCAAGTACAGAAGTATACCTTGGGCTTTAGTGCACTGTTAAGAGAAAGAAGGCTGAAACGTTGTCAGGAAAGTCCACAGTGCGGTCACACTATTCACGACAGCATATAGGTCCCTGTTCTCCACAGAGAGGTCAAGGCACCATGAAGCAGAGTCTCAGCAATTTTTTCCTCACCTTACACAGTGCTTGGCTCAAGCGATTTATTTTTCACATCATCTGAGAAAGACTTATCCTATCATCTACAAATCCTTTAGCCATTCAGCAAGCCAACTGATATAAATATGTAACAGGAATACTTGGAAATTAGATTTTTCCATAGCAACATAAGCCTAATATTTTAAAATAACCTGAATGATCCCTTTGAAAGCTAACAGCTGCATTGTGGGAACATTTAACGTTCTTCTCAGATTTATCAGATAGTGCCATAGAAAGCTCATTGTAAGCTTTCCATACAAAATATGGAAACTGCACCAAAATTTTCCATGAACTGTGGCATTTAGCTTAGGTTGTCAATGTTAATTTTACAATTGGGCTGCTCAAAATAATTGAGATTTGCAAAATGATTAAGAATTATATATAACAAACCATACAACAAATCCCAGATTTTTAAATAACATATAAAGAAGAGGTTTTGCAAGACAGCTCTTTTTCCAAGTGATGTGAATTTTGCAAATAACTAGAGTCAATTAGCACAGCATGTCAGTAAAGTGAAATGCATCAAAAACAACTTGAAAGATGTTAGGCTAAGGTACATTCCAAAAACAACTCTTCAAAGACTGACAGTACTGTTAAAAATAATAATAATAGTGATAAAATAGTAATGGCAGCACAGACAAAAAGAAACATTCTCAGTCATCCAGCCTAGTGTTCTTTGTGTATTAACTGCTCATCAGAACTCATTTAATAGTATCAAATATTTGAGTCAAAGTCTTTGTCAAATCGACAATCTAGATCTATATATTAGTACCTAGCTTATTTCTCTGCGTGTCGTGCCATCCGCTTTCAACATTTGGTTTGGGTATTAAGTAGTTTTAACTATATAAATCCAATCAAGGCAAAGCTGAAGTAACTAACAGTTTACTGTTAAATTACATAAATCTGTCTTAGAGACATACAAATTCAGTACTACAAAAAACGCGTAACCTTTTCAAGGACAAAGAAGCCTTTTAGGAAGGGAGGCAAGAGATCAAATGTAAGAAGTAATGGATGGAACCCCCTAGTCCTCTGCCCCCCAAAAAGTTACTTTCTATCTTCACTCTGATTGTCGCCACCTTCAATATATGCTATAACTCAGACCACATCATTCTTCTTCTTGTATTGGGAGTTACAGGATAACAGTTCATTCATATCTGACTAAAAATGACGAGTCAACAACTAATGAATATTCTCTCCCCTGTGGAATGGAAATATCAGAAACTTTCAAAGACCTTTTACTGGAAAATCCACTTGAGGAATGGAATATGGAAAATAGCAGTGTAAGGGGGGGGGGAAAAAAGCAAGGAAAATGAGTCAATAAGCTTTTTCAAAGGCCAATCTCCCTCGTAAAGACACCAATATCAAGGTTGCCCTAGCAACATTCTATAAGTAAAGCACGTGTGCTTAAGGTATATGTTGCCAAGACATATTATCAAAACTTAATACTTCTCCATTAACTGTTATATAAATGCTCACCCATATGGTACTCTCTTAGAAGAGTACACAAATTACTGGAAAGAATTTGAAAGTTTGTGACTGGTTCTCAGGCCTAAAACAAGCGCAACTTAAGACTCCATATCTCAAGCAGCTTCAGACATTTGGCATGGTAGAAGGGCACGCAAAAGGTCAAAACTAGACACAACATGTGATTCATGTGACATAGTATAGTTGCTCACTTTTGTCTTGGTCATTCTAGGCTCTCTTGTAATCAGTGGAAAGGAGTAGGTACCTTAGCGGCTGGACTCAACTCATCCTAAAACCGGTATCTGAGTCACCCTAAAAGTCCAAATTTCTCTCCATAATGAAATTCTAGGGCCTTTTACTTCAATACAGCTGTATCGTTTTAAATTTCTACATCTTGGATGCAACTGAATATCATCCGTAGTATCTGAATACCACCTAAATTATGGTGAGTTCAGTAAATACAGGAACACAACCAACATGTGTTCCAGTAAGCTAAGTAAGAATGCCTAGAAGATAACATTAGCACTGTACATTATTTTGACAACTCTCCTCAAAAAATAGTGTGACTTCAAAACTGCTAATTTACCATAAGTTCTCAAACTGTATTTGGCATTCAAACAAAATCAGCCTTCCATATACAAAATTACCTTGTCTATTTACTTCGTTTTGAAGCAGCTCTTCCATTGCCTCTTCTTCAGCAATATCTAATGGAGTGTCTCCTTCACTATTTACAGCTCCTACGTGTGCTCCTTGACTAATTAAATACCTGTAAACAGAAGAAAAAAAAAAACAAACTGTTTGGTAAACAAAAAGAGAAGGTGAGCTACAAGTAGTACAGCTGATGCAATAAAAATAATAGCTGCTAGTAAAAATATTCAGCAATCATGGATATCACATACAATGGATGCACATATTTACACATACAATTAATAAAATCAACTATATTTGCTATAAGTGGAAAAAAAAAACAAAACCAAAACTCATCACTATCTGCGACCCATGAATGCGACCTATGTCTCTTAAGCACAACAGTCATTAATACAAACAGCACTCTCTCTGCTCTTTAGTTGGTCAGAGAGATTTCCAGTACATTTAAATATATGTACTTGCAAGAACTGAAAGCAGAAAATGAGCGGATGATGAACAAAAGTGAACACAGCAGTATACAGGCCAAAACATTGATTCCTGCAAGCTTCTCAGTAGCATATTAAGACAGTCTTCCTAGAACTTCCATACTGAATGACACATTATCTTTCTATACTTTGAAAGAATCACAACTCCTGTTCTCCAAGTCAGCCTCCTTAAAGTTAATAAAACTAAAATCACCTCTGCTCCTATTCGTTTATAATTCTTTGACAAAAAGTAAAGCTGTTGAGAAACACACGGGAAAATTATAAGCAACAGAATCAACAACTACTTGTTGTTGACCTCAAGGTTACTAGGCTCCAAGCATAGAGGATAGGAGATGACTATCTCTGGTCTTCTTCCTACTCCCACTGGCTTTCAGCTGTGAAGAGATTGCAACACAAATACAAGGTTCATAAAGGTATGTTTGCATTCACCCAACAGAACCCTGTGGATGGAACACATGAGAAAAAGTAGCGTCTTATTATTTTTATATCCTGGAAACCAAAATTATAAAGATCCAATCTGAGACAGAATTAAGTACTTCTTTGCAGCAGGAGCATTAAACTTTTTAGGAAAGACAGGCCAGGAAGGCGAGGTGGTGGAGTTGCTCTTTATGTGAGGGAGCAGCTAGAATGTATGGAGCTCTGCCTCGGGGTGGATGAAGAGCAAGTTGAGAGCCTATGGGTAAGGAAGACAGCACAGCTAGACACAAACAGTCAAAGAGGTTCCTGCAGAGCACTGACGATAACTTCTTGACCCAAGCGGTGGAGACGCTAACAAGGAGAGGTGAAATGCTAGACCTTGTACTAACAAAGAAGGTCTGGTTGCAGATGTGAAGGTTGGGGGCAGCCTTGGC